TGTTGAACAATACTAATGATTTGATATTATATTAATATTTTTATGAATAGTATGGTTTATTACTATATAATAATCATAATAGTGATGGTGGTGACAAAAATAATAATAACAGCGATAATAATATTGTTTCCTGATCATTTGGTGTTAGTGGTCACGACAATGGTGATGATGGTATTTTTTTGAGTTTTGAGTTTTGTTTTGTTTTTTACCAATTATTTACTACTCGAATTTTAATAAATCATCTTTCTTCTCTGAACTACACTTGGAAATTTATTTTTCACAGATTTCGGATAAAATCGCCACAAATAATCTGCGCAAGACCTGTTCCGACAAAGAGCTCACCCGCTACTGAGAATATCGCTTATGGCTTTGTCGCTCTGGCCATCGTTTAATGTCTGCCATTTGAAACCGTGTATGCCTACGAGATCATTAAGTTGGTATACGCGCCAGTAAAAGGATTATAAATATTTTTTCCCGTAATGAGGCAGTTTTATTGTTCTTCTCTTTGCACAGCCTTCCTTTTACAAACCACAAACAGAGAAAATAATTGGTAGGTCGTACAAATCAGGCTTCTCATTTAAAGTCTTCGAATCACTTGATGAATTTTAAAAAAATATTACAATGTTTGTTTTCATGTTTGAAGTTTTAAATTACCAGTCGGAATTTTGTATCAAATATCTTGCGACACATTACTATTATATAAATAGTTTCGTAAAATTAACAACAAATGAATAATCCTGATCCAACATCAAGAAAATTTCCGGTTATCAACATGATCATATTTTCCGAATTATTTCGAATGCTTTAAGGCTTATTATTATTATTATTAATTATTAACACTTATAAAAGATTACTCAAATCCCGTAACACTTTTTTTTTTTTTGTAATAAATTAAATTTGTTGTTTGCCTATATTTGTAAATAAACAGTGGTACGGGAAATAAGACGTTGTAGAAGAGTGCTCATTATACATGAGCGAACGAACGAACGATCGATCTAACAGATAGAGTTAACATTGAGCTAAAAAAAATCAATTTTACTAAACACAATTTTTTGGGAAGCATGAGATGAAAAAAATGAGACGTTTCTTTGATTTAGTTAAAAAAAATTTTTTTTTTTTTATCTTTGAAATGACTGACGTTATACATATCGTTAATTTATTAATTTATATATTATTTATTACTAATTATTTTCACTATTCGTTCATCTGATGTTAAAAAAATTGATCTTTCCTTACCTTTTTGGTTTTAATTTTTTATTTTATTTTTTATCTACCACGTCCATCTATCGGAGAGGTTTCTTTTCTTTTGTTTTGCTGCGGTTTGACCTTTGATCAACTAACTCCAGAAATAATCAATAACCAAATGAGTGCGATAATAACTAAAAACAACGCAATAAAAAATAATAATAAAATAATAATAATAACACAAATTGTTTGTTTATGTAGCAAACAAAGTAGTATATATATATATATATACAACAAACAAAAATTACGCCAGTACTAAAGTGTATGATTAAGTAAATACGGTCGTCGCGCAATAAAAATCACATTTGTCAATGAATGAATGTGCCGTTGCAAAGTTTTTGTTCCGTTCGCGAATTGGTCATTTTTTTTTATTGTGATTTTGATTGTGATCCTTCTTCCCTTTAAGCGAGTTAGTTATTTTTTTGATTGATATATAAACTGATTGATAAAACCTTCGTTAGTATATTTTGTTCATAGAACTTGTCCTTAATGCTTGTACAAACTATTGAATAATTGATAAAACGTTCGTTAGAATATTTTGTAAGCTTCATAGATCTTGTCCTTAACGCTTGTATAAACTATTGAATAATTGATAAAACGTTCGTTAGAATATTTTGAAAGCTTCATAAATCTTGTCCTTAACGCTTACTTCGATCACTCCTATATACAAACTGGATCTTATCATCCTCAAAAAACGATGCTTCGTTGTCGTCGTTGCTACTAATTATAATATTATTAAATATTATTGATTGATGGATCTTCGTATATTGCAAATGTAACCAATCAAATTAATTAGCGAATTTTTATCTTTTTTTAATTTTTTAAATGTTTCCTTTTAACTAAATAAAAATAAATAACCAAAATTAGCAAAAGGAAGGGTCAATACACCCAACATAAGCCACACACGTGAGTTCCACCTTCCCACACGCAGGACTTTACAGCCGGTCCAAGTGAGGCATTGCACCTAAGGGAGCCGAACACAGGGGACCTTCTTACTTGAGTACTTCGTCATTGCATAACTTTTCCCTGGTCGATACTATTATACCAATTCTATGACTTATATATCAACTTTTTTTCAAATTGTGCAAAATATGGGATACCAACCACTTCATTGGATTAAATTTATTCCATAATTAATAAAATTATACAGAAAAAGTAGACTGTTAAATACAAGATGTATGACGACATACGAAGCTTCCAAAGCAAGTTTATAAAATATACTGATAAACGTTTATCGATTATTGAATAGCTTGTATCGAAATAAGTGCTAAAAAGTCAAGATCTATGAATCTGTTTGTAAAATATATTTAATGAGCGCTTTATCAATTATTCAAATAATTATATAGGCGGGCTTGGTAGAAGTAAGTGTTAAAGTCAAGATCTATTTGCAAATCAAGTTTCCAAAATAAACGTTCATTATTATAGGCGGGTTTGATCTTAAAGTCGAGATCTACTAAGCTGTTTGTAAAATATATTTAATTAACGTTTTATTGTTATCAATTATTCAATAACTATATAGGCGGTTTTGATCGGTCAAGATCTATATAATTAGATTGTTAATATTTAATAATGGAATTTTATTACATGCAAAAAAAATTTTTTTGAGTTGTAAATTTTGTTTTATTAAATAAATTTGTTTGATTTTTTCATACATCATTCATGTTTTCTCTTGATTATATATTGTGAGATCAAAATCTGAGTCTCATACAAATCTATTGATTTGGTTAAAATAATATTTATTTCGTTTATGACAGTATCCAATTATGTAATTCTTTGATTACTTTTTCTCACTATAGCACTCAAGCTATTTAATTATTTACAGGGCAAGTTTCCTTACTTCCCTTCTGGTAATGTTTTCTCAGCAGTCCTTTGTTATCTGCCTGAGCTGGCATGTCTCAATGATATTTATAATATCTCAAGTATCCGCTGTGATACTTTATACACTTATTATTATTATATTTATGGCTCAATCTCTTAACTGACCTCACCTAGCTAGGATTTCCACTATTTAGGCATTGACCTAAACTAAATAAAAATAAAGAAAATGATTAAAAGAAAAATACACACACAACTATACTTATCAAAGGTGTCCCCCTGGTAAGATAGTAATTAATTAATAATTGAGTTAGAGTGAAAGGTTTATGTGGTTTTGGAAGTGGGTGGATTATTCCACTGGCAAGAGATTATTTTAAGAGATATTTATGTTTGAATTTTATTATTTAGATATTATTGTTATTACAAGATAATAGTTATATATATTTTTTTTTAACTAACTAATGATCACATGAAAAGAGAAATTTACAACGTATTCATACATGTTAAAGGTTCTATCATCTAGTTCTCTGACTTTGTTGAAATCCTAATTTATACTAATTAATATATTCCTTAAACATTATTTAAACCTTCTGTCTAGAATTATTTTCAAGTAATTTCTAGTCAATGTGAGTCATGTAAAATTCTTTTGTTTAAATATTATTCTAAGACTTTGTAGTCCATTACACTTTAATTTCTTGTTGAGTTATTCAGTGATAATTGCTTCCAAATTTTCACTTCGTGATACATGTAAATCATTTCTGATTTATATGTTCATTTCCCGTGATCTATAATTTACTATTTTACAATATCTTAAATTAGTCGCATTTACAATCATTTTGACATTCGTTATATTAAGGTTATTTTGATTATATCAAGAGATATGGTCAAGAGAAGAGTTAGGAAGAGAGTTATTCTTCAACCAAGTCAAAAATCAACCCTTTCAATACATTTTCGAGTAGTACTATTTAATTTATTAGACTATTTCAAATGGTTGCTTCCAACTTCTTAAATTCGAACCATTTGTTAATGAAACAACTGTTGGTGAAGTGATTGTTGACAAAATGAATCAATGTTTTATATTTTTATGTTATCAAATTCATGATTTTTGATTGGTTGATCAACAATTGTGCAGGTTAAATTTTTTGTTACCAGAATGGTCTCTCCTGTTATATGTAAATGATTGAATCAATTGAATCATGTATTTTTATTATTATAATGCTATGAAATACTCAGCACAGTGGTATTTTTATTTTTTGACCATCTTGTATAACATTGTATAATGATAAATGATTCCATGGTTTGAATGTGCTCACCATCTGTAAACTTGATTGCATGAAGATGGACAGAGACATTGTAGAAAGTTGAGTTCCATGTGCTGAAATGGCTGAAATGACCTGAGAGGAATTTCTCTATGAAAAAAAATGAAAAAAAATGTGGGGACAGCCATCCTATTTGTATTTTTAGAATCGATAAAATAGACTATTGTCTTGTCCTGAGTGATGTCATTGTGTGAGTAAAAGACATGAAGCTCACTGTCATGTTTTCATTTAAAAACTGTTAGTTTTATTAACAAATTGTTATTTGCATCACCCATTTTTGTTATTCACACCCCACGTGACTAAGACAAAGATGAATCAATAAAATCATCATCACATTTTAAGCGATTTATTTGATCAAGCCATTTTCTAAGCAATTTATTTGGCTAAACCATTCATTGGTCACATTTACTACACTTAGTCACGTGGGGTGTGAATAACAAGGGGTCCCGCCCAATTGATCAACAGCTGTTATACAACAGGAGAGACCGTCCTATATAAGGAATGGATTTTCACAATTGATTTCAATTTTTTTTATACAGTTTAAAATAC